ATAAAAGCCTCTATGGAGTCCAGACGCAAATCTTTAGAGTCTGAAGACAAATGTCGCAGGCTTCCTGTGCCTGCAAACCAGAGACTGCTTTATACACCAACTTTCAGCCCATCTGAGCTTGTACCTTGGGAGTTGAAGCTATTTCACAAACTTCCATTCTACAAATGGTGCTAACTTGCTCAGGCCACCAAAGGTAGCAAGCTAAGGACACAGAGGAATTGCAAGAAAACGTGAGAAAGGCAATTCCTCTAAGTCCACATTCCGACTGCCCCAGCAGACGTGAGCGAGTGGGCAACAAGAAGTCCTGTTTTGCAGGGCTCAGATCAAATAACAAGCACCTCTAATTTAGGATCTGAACAATCAAGGAAAAGTCTTTCCAAAATCTAATGAGAAGTAAATGGCTAAATATAAAGAATATTCTAATGGGGGGGAAGGGGGAAGAGAAATCTCCTAATTGTCCAGCTCCAAGGCAGAAAACAGAGACACCCATTTCTACCTCTGAGATGCTTTTTGATAACTCTAGAAAATGGCTTTTGTGGTTGATATCTCAAAGGAAAATTGTGCCATTTTCATTCCATTTTCATAAATAAGCTATCAATCTGCCTTTTCATTAGTGTACAAACCCTGAAGAATATACCCCAAATCCCAAAGCACCTACTTGCCAAGCCCTACCAGGTAACTTAATTTGACTGCCTCAATTTCCCCCATTGTCTCCCATATTTCTGAACTGGATTTTACAAGAGAATAATGACTACAGTAGCAAACTTTGTAGGATGCAGCCAAAACAGTGCTTACAGGGAAACACCTAGCTTTAAATCCCTGTATTAAAAATTGATGTCTAAAATCTGGGCTCTAAGATTTTATATAAGGAAAATTTTAAGAAATCAAGAATTTCTACAGCTTTAGGATGAAACTGGAGGCACAACAGATGTCTTTGTTGAGGCAGAGTTCAGTTTCTGAACACTATAATGTCTGTGCCTTCGATGGAACATCGAAATCCAAAAGCCAAAAACGAGGAGAAAAATAAACTTATACAGGCAAGTGAAAAGTAGAGCGAGGGCTAAGCCACCCTACCTCCCCCAAAAAAGGAAAAAAAGAAGCCCCCCTCAAAAAATTCAAGAACAGCTTCACTAACGGAAAAGATTTATTTAAATTCAAACATGTGACCAACTACCTAAATGAAAAGCAAGTCAGATTTTCTCCTCCCAAACAGCTCCATAATGCTGTAGGGTTTTGTGAGGGGGAATTTCTGCAGGGAGGAGGATTTGGCGCTGGAGTTAAAGCCAAGGCCTCACCAAGCTCTCCACTGAGCTGCTTCGCCTGCCCTCCATGTTGTTTTAACGGACTGAGAAACAGACACTGGATTATGTACAGGCTTCCCTCCCATGAAGGTGCCAGGACTGAAATCTCCAGCGGTTAGGGCTGAGTCTTCATAGGTGGACAATCTCATCCTGCATACACATATTTGCAAATACACACTTCTATCCTGCAGTTTCTTACATTTACACGTTGAACAAAATTTTAAGCAAATGTGTTCTCTAAATTACACCATTTATAAAATTTTAGTTTTAAAAAGATATACCAACCAAGACTTTGTACAGCTTTACAATGAGCTAAAGGCACATGGATGTCTTGGTTGAACCAAAGTTTGGCTCCAAACACTGCAAGCGGGCTTAGCAAAGTCCTAAGTTTTGAGCTGGATCTTTGGTTCTGACTTTTGTTCTTGTTGCCCAGGGGAGGCTGATTGGACAGGGACAGCTGCTCTGGCTTCCAACCATGGCAGTAACCACCATACAAAGTCCTAGACAATTAGCCACCAAAAATCTGCCCTGTTCTCTGGTTTCCTGGTCCACCAACAAAATCCACTTTGACCAACCCAACACAGCCTCAAAAGCAACACAGGCCGCAGTAATGCGCAATAAGTAACTTAGGTGAAACACATTTAAAAAAAATTTTTTTTAATTATAATGAACACAATTACACATCAAACTCATGATTTCATGAATATTGAAGTTTCTTCTCAAAATAAGAGAGTGTGCAAGTGTAAAAAATAAACAGTGATAATTGATTGGCCTACGTGGCATTAGTCTCGAAAGGCTGGGAGGACTGGACTAAGAAACTAGGCCCCGGCCTCCATTTGCCGACCGTGTGTCGGGCAGGGTGGCCCTCCTCCACACCATTCCTTGCAGAGTGGATGTGCTTTTGCAGACCTGTAAAGCTCAGGAGGTCTCCAAGAGCTTTGTCCTTTGTTAGCTGGTATGGCCGCAGGCATACCAGTTAACCTCCTGAGCCTTGGTTTCCAGACCTGTAAAATGGGGACCGTGGGGGCTTCCAAGTGGATAAAAAGAACAGGGCTTTGAAAGTGCCCTGCAAACTGCGAAATTGCTACCTAAGTCTCAGTGGCTACACTTCTCAGTTACTGCAACGCCTGCTGGGCTCTAACTCTGTCTGTCCTCAAATTCCCTCCCTGTAATGTGGAGACTGGCCTGTGAAGTCCTCTTTCACATGTTCCCAGTAAAACTTAAAAAAGTATGTTCCGTAATCCTAAAGTTTTGATTTTTAACACAAACACACACATAGAAAAATGGTAGGCAAGAATCATTCCTGGGACCACATTTGATCGAAGTGCTCTTGGAAAAAAAAAGGTTCTCAAGACTTCATCCATCGCCTTACACAATTCCCTCTGCTGCAAAATCCAGAACTTGAGGTCCACTTGTGTAAAACACGAACCTCACTGAAGTGTAAGCCCTAGTCTGTGCCACTGGGGAGCTAACGACTGGAGTTCTGGTAAAGCAGAGCGGAGCGTTAAATTGAGCACCATTTCTGAAACTCAGGGGCTCCAAATGGCTGAATCAGCATTTTCTGAAACAAAGTCTTCAGGGCCTGGCCTTTAAACAGCCGCAAAGAGAAAGTTGTGCAATAACACATATTTACTCACGAATGCTACTTGTTTTGGACTTTTTCTTTGCATCTCTTGAATGAAACAGTTGTAAGAAAAGAGTTTTTTAAAAAAACATCCTAAAGAACTAGGGCCTTGTAAAAATCACCTGTGGCTCCCCTACTTTGCCCAGTTTCGGGCGAAGCAAACGAAAAGAAGTTCGAGGGGTTTCTTCCAATTCCAAGAAAAGACTAATACAATTTTTTTTTAAAAAAAAGTAAAGAATACCCTAATTTCCATAACGCACATGCTGCAGGCCCTCGCCAGGCAAGCGTTTGGAGAGGCAATCAGCAAAGGCGAAGAGTTGCATCAGAAATTTCCTTCTGCAAACGGTACCGCTCTTATCACGTTTCCACCGCTGGCGGGCTGCTAGTTCGCGAGCCCTCAAAACTTGGTGTTAGGCCCCAGCGACGGGTAGCAGGGCCACTAACAGAACCGAAGAAAGAAAGGGGTGGGGGTGGGGGGGGGAGGGAAAGATCCTCGGTCCGCGGCCGGGCCGCGCTCACTTGGGACTTGGGAGTGTCTGGCACCGCTGCCCGGGCCGCCTGGCGCGCGCGGCGAGGCCCGAGGCGCAGCAGGAGCACCCGCCGCTCCAGCGGCGCCTGGGCGCCCACCCTGCAGGGCGGTGGTCCCCGGGAGCGGGCGGCCCCCGGAGCGCGGCCTTGACCGCAGCCCCCGCCCCAGCCCCCGAGCCGCCGCCGTCTGACAAGATGGTCCAAGAATGCGCTGCCCGCACCCCGCACCTCCCCCAAGGGTCTGGAGCGCAGGGGAGCGCCCCGCGGGGCGCTCTGGCCATGCACTCGCCGTCCTGTCCCGTCCCGCCATCCCGTGCCACCCGCCCGCCCGCCGCGGGCCTGGGGCGCTGCAGCGCAGCCCCCAGCCCCGCGGCGACGCCCTTCCGCCCGCCGCGCCTCGCGGGGCCCCGCGTCCCGGGCCGCGGGCGGCCAGAGCGCAGACAATGACGGCGCGGGGACCCGCCCGGCCGCCGGCCCCGCGCGGCGCGGACCACAAAGTAACTTGCCGCCGCTCCCCGCCCAACTCCTACCTGCCGCGCTGCTCCTCCGCCTCCGCGTGGCCGCCGGCCACACTTTGCACGGTCCTCTGCGGGGTACCCGAAGGCAAAGACGGACACTGGACGGTCCCGGTCGCCGTGCGCGCGAGGGTGCGAGGAAAGTTCGTGCTCCCGTGGGTCTCGGAACGCGAATCCCGCCCGCCACTGGCCGCAGCGCCCTTCCCTTCCTGCCGCCTCCCGGCCTCCCCACCCCCTCGATGGGCTTTAAACTCTCCGGGCCCCGCCCGCCCTCCCCGCCTCCGCCGCCGCCTCCGCCTCCGCCTCCTCCCCCCGGCCGCTTTTCCTGCTCCTCCTCCCGCCGCCGCCCGGACCGCTCGGCGGCCGCCAGCGCGGGAGGAGCCGCGGCCTGGGCGCAGGGCGTGGCGCGGGGGGCGCGGGCCCAGCGGCCGCGGGGTTGGCGTGGCGCGATGCTCCCGCACGGGCCAGCGCGCGCCCACCATGCGCCCGGCCCGCGGGACCCCCCCGGCGCCACGCCACCGCCCGGGTGCGGGGCCGCGCCGGCGGAAGAGCAACCGGACCTGTCCCGAAGGGCCACTCGTGAGCGAATTGTTCGAAACTCAGAAAGTACTCCCCAACCGCACTGTTCCAATTCCTCCCGGGCTGCGGCCGCCCGACCCCGTCGTGGGCAGTCCGGGTCCCGGAGAAGGAAACTCGGGCTTGCTCACGGCGGGTCGGGTCCGAGCCTCACCTTTCTCAGCCTCAGTTTCGCCAGCTGCGTGTGAGTAGCCCAAGGAGGGAAGCCTGAGAGGCCCTTCATTGTTTCCTCGAGGCGGCCGAGCGAGCCTCGTGTTCTTTTACCTCTGAAGTGGGGGCCCTACGCAGAGTAATGCCCAGACGGGCCATACCCCGTCTCTAACGTGACCGCCGAAAAGGCAACGGGGTTCATGTGAATCAGCCCCTTCGAAATAATTCTTAATGGCTGGGTTATGTCGGGTTTTTAAAACAGATAGGATACCAATAATTACACCTTTTTGCTTGGGTCTTGGCGTTGTTAAAAAAAAAAAAAGCAGCCCCAACCGTAAATCACCGTCGTTGAGAAGACACGTGGTGTGAAACATTCATGAGTCCTCCTACTTCTCCCTCACTCTGGCCTCTGAGGTTGTTCCTGGAACAACTGTGGAGAATAGAGAGACTGAAGTTACTTTTTAGAGAAAAGTAACTTCCAGAAGGTCGAGGCGCTGGGAGTGAGCATGGGGCAAGGGTTTGAAAGTTGTCTGTATTGTCCCAACGCTCTTTTTGAGCGCTCTTTTGTACCTCCTGCTTCTAACAGTGGTTTTTTCCGACCTCAGACTGATGTAATCAATGAAAAGTTTTTCCTTTCCTATAACTCAACACTCAGTCTTGTTTCTGGCCATTGGTCCAAACTCAGAAACCCACAACATCCAAAGAAAATGATGTGAATAAATCTTAGATTCCTGGGGAAAGGAACACAAGAACTCTTTTGTAGACAAAGGATTCAGAAGCAGACTGAAGCAGACGAAACTGGGCTAACTTCTCCCGAGTTGGTTTGCTTCAAACTTTGCAGTTTTTCTGCAGGCTCCTGTAAGCGATCCATACCGCCCCAGACACAAAGCCTGGCAGGTCGTAGAACTTTTACAGACGTTTGAAAGTTTCTACATACTTTCGCAATACTTTTTTTTTCCTGAATCGATTTGTTGGTAAGTTCCAAATACCCGTGGACCCTTTAGCCCTCTGTACATTGATGTCGCCTTCCCAGGAGTACAGATACTGTTTTATATAACCGCCATGCTTTCCTTAGAGTCACAGATTTATATGGATAAGAAGCATGTAGCTAATCTAGATTCATAGTCTAGTTTTGTCAGTTTATCTGCTAATTTGGAGCATTCTTTTTCCTTACAAGACCAGTGCAGTGATCTAGGCAAAACGTTGAATTTCGTTGTCCCTAAACAACTGTGTTTTCAGGCATTACTACTCACTGGAATGGTATGTCGATAAATATCAAGCATTTTCTTATTGGTGTCAAAGCCTGGACAGGCCCTCATTCCCACATTTCCTGGTTCCCCTGTAGCCCTCAGCAGGCAGGGCACATATAGCACACCTTTCTGAACCAAGGTTGTGGCCTTGCCATCTTTGCTGTGTCACTGGGCTACAGCTAGCCCCAGTGGGGGAAATCCTGGTCAGTATTGTGGGCAGACTACATTAGTACCTTCTCATCTCTAGAATCCCAGTATCCCCTGCCCACGTTTTCCCTCACAGAATGAAGACAGATACACATGTTGTAAACCTATGCAGTCTACAAATGAGCCTGGAGAATCCAGCCTCCTGGGGCAAGACAGGATGGCTCTGTGGCTCACAAACGTCCCAAAGGGGTAATGTATGAACTAGACTTGGGTGTGGAGGCAGGAAACAGGATTCCCTGGTAGTGAGGAATTCCATCAGCCAAACATGAGCTTCAGGAGGCTCATTCAGTTGAATGTAGAGAATCTGACAAACTGTAATTTTAAATTAGTAATGAATTGATCAACATCTGTCTCCCTTGTTGATTGTAGGAATAGTGTCAGTGGTAACTATGTCCTTTTGCTGGTGTTCTGCAGGCAAAGGGTAGGGGTTGCCCTGGACTGAAGAAGGCACTAAGTGAAATAAGCCATTGGAAAAATAATAGACAAATGAATGTCTCCGAAGTGTAAATGAATGGAGTAAGGGAGTGATCTCTCAGCCCCAGGCATCTTCTCAAATGTTGCCAGTAGCTTTGGCAGAAGGAAAGCAAGGAGGGCAAATGGCATCCTGACAGATGCTCGTCATGCCTCTCCATCCCCTCTGCACATGGTGCATTCTGGCATAGCTTAGAAGGCAGAGCTGGAAAGCAGAGACCAGCCAGTCTGAGGACAGTCCAACAGAACACCCTGCTGGGTCAGCGGGTGATCTGCAGTCAGAATGAAATCACAGTGTTATGATTTGTACATGGAATGGTGTTCACAGTCTTGGCTTTCTTGTAGGCTCCTGTATTGAGCATTGATCTTCAGCTGTGGTGGACACGTGGGAGGTAGAACCTGGATGGATTCAGTAGTTGTTCTCTTGAAATAGAACTTTAAAGGTAATATCTCGTTCTTATTCTCTTTTTTTGTTTCTGGCCCCCATGATAGGAACTTGCATAATGGATAGAATCCTTTGAAGTCATGAACCCCAAACCAAAAAAAAAAAACCCAAAACAAATAAGCAAAATCCTTCCTTTGTTATTCTAAAGTGTTTAAAAACACGGGGATACAAATTCTGACTTAGTGGCTGCCCTAGAACCTCAGGAGGCTCTTTACACTACTGGTTCCTACATCCATCTGGGTGGTGCACCGGTCACCTTCATGAGTATGTCCTGCTTCAGGACCATCCTGCCTCAGTGTCTGTAGAACTGAGGCTACAGACATGAGTCTCAAAGCCTGGCTAGAGCTTCATTTCTAACCCAATGTGTATCCTTGTACGTGAGTAGTCCAAATATGTTAGCTCTCTGAACCATTTAAGCCAGGTAGTTAAAGCCTTCCCCAGAGTCTACAAGTCACAGTTTTTATGGTTATGGCAGTGACCCCAAAAAATCCTAAAATCTCAAACTTGAAAGGTGAGGCGAAGAAGAAACTAAAAATGTCTTTGGACCCAGGGAGAAGCATGCATCTGAGAACTGTGCTGAGAAATCTTGGCTCCTTTGGGGAGAACTACTGGGTAGTTACTTTTGCTCATAGAATGTGGGAGCTCCTGCAGGAGGAGAGGAGGGTGCAGCTGAGTCAGGAAGAGTTAAGACTGCAGGGTAAGCAGTGCCTTACTCACCAGGGTCAGGCATTTGCACTTAACCCAAGGACACCAGAAGATAATGTGTGTTATGGACTCTCCCTAACAATCCTGGCTTTCTTGGTCTCCAACAAATCACAATAACACCTGGAGCAAGGGCTCTGTTTCCTAGGTAGGATAGCCAGGGAGCAGGGTGGTAAGCTGAACAGTCAGATGCTACACCTGGGATTATGAAACTGAGGCATTGATAGGGGTCAGGACAAAGGACACCAAGTGAGGACTATGGAATGGGCTCGGTAGACCCAAATAGAGCCTCTATCCCCGTTTTCTAGGCCGGGGATAGTATGCTGTTCTTTGGACAGCCTATATAATTCTGTTTTCTGACATCTTAATATAAGCTCTCCTTTTTTTTGAATAGCTAGAATCAGGAGGACCTTTCAAAGCAAAATGGGGGCTCACTAAAAAAATATTCCCTGAGTTTTACCTATTGAAACAATTTGCTGACAGGAGAATTCACTCTTTGTAAAAAGAAAAAAAAAGTACGTGTTGTTGAGCTTAGAATGGTACACAGTTGTGTAACGAGTAAAGATACCAGACAGTATTGACCCCGAAAGGTTGCTTCATACCCCACCCTTCCAGGCAACCTCCACTCTGCCCCAGCCCCTGGCCCCCACATCAGGCAGCCGCCCACCTGGCTTCTGACCTTGTGATTTTGCTGTCGGAGATGTCTGGAACTGCAGAAAGTGGCTGCGCACAAGTCCTTCACCCGCGCCGTTCCCCAGATTTACACCTGGTTCCGTGCAAGTGAGATTAGGGGCCCACTGCATGGGCATGCCTCAGTTTGTCCTCTCGTTTGCTGGTGACCAGAAATTTGGGTCAGTGTCAGTTTTAGGCAATTATGAGTAAAGTTGCTAGATTTCTTTGTGAGGCGCTTTATTGTGGAAACACAAGTTTCCATTTCCCTTGGGTGAACAGCTAAGCAAAGCAGAGAGGTCTTGTGGTATGCTTTATCAGAAACTGCCAAATTATGTTGAAAGTAATATCATTTGCATTTGCACCAAAAAACCCTGGCTGTCCCGGTTTCTCCACGTCCTCCAGACTGGCTTGCCAGTCTAGGTTATAGCCATCCACATTAGTGTGTGTAGTGGTGTGTCTTTCCTGATTTTAATTTGCATTTCCGCATAGTTAGTGTGTTAAGCACTTTCTCATGTGCTTCCTTGCAGGGTCTGTCCATTATTTTGTGAAGCATCTGTTCCAATCCTATTTCTTTTGGGCTGTTTTCGTATTACTACATTTTAGAGTTTCTTTAGTATGGGTGCATGCCTTGCTTACTCTCTCCCCCTTCTCTCTTTTGCGCCCCCCTCCACTATTTCAAGCATCAAAGAGAAGTTTTAGTATTTTTGGAAGATAAGCCCTCAATTTATTGTTCATGACTTGTGTTTTGAGTCCTGTTTCAGAAATTCTCATCTCACTCAATACCAAAACAATGTACTTCTATGTTTCTTTTTAGAAGTTCCTTAGTTTTAGCTCTTACATTTACATTATTATCCAATTTGGTTCTAAGTTTTGATGGGTGGTTTGAAGGAATTAGGTGACTCCAGGTGTTTTTAGAAAACCCCATCTGATTTCTCTACAGATTGAGAAGAAGAGCAGAGGGACAATGTAAGGACACTGGTGTACTATGAAAGGGATGGACAGCATTCTCGTGTGGTCTGAAGCTCGGTGGCTGAGGCAGCTTCACCTACACGTCAGTTCATAGAGGAGCATGTGTGTAAACACCTAGCAGCCTTAAGTCAGAGCTTGGAACCTTTGGGCTGGAGGCCAGTGGCCCTGCCACAGGGGCCGGGCAGCAGGGCCTACGCTCAGTCAGCTGGGGCCCAGGCTCTGAGGATGAGCTCTATGCTCATCCATATAAAAATGGAGTTCACAGATATTTGCCCTTTTGATTATTCAGGGCATGGAAGACATCACAGAGAGCACAGGGCAGCACTACAAGGCCCGATGCAGACAGGGAAAGGGTGCAAGGCCAACTCTTGGTCCAGGCAGAAGATCTCACTGTGGAGCAGTGGTAGACTCTGGGGAAGGGCTGGTGCCCTACAAGACATCTCCATCCAAGCTGGAAGACTGAGCATCCATTTGCAGGATTTGAACCACAAGGCTCTCCAGTCCAAATCCCAGGCACTTCCAGTTTTGCCAGACCAACTTCAGGGTGCCAGCTCCGTTTAATGCTTGTCCCAGTAATAGAGACATGGCTCCAAAAATCAGTTACCCTAGTGACTGTGTCCAAGGGACCAAGGGAATGTTTCTTCTCTGCTCATGCTAGAAACCTCTAGGAAATTTCATCTTACATCCTATCTGGAACAAGGTCCCAGGCTATATCCCTGCATGTAGGAAGATAAGTTGAGAGCATATGGCATCTTAACTTTGATACAGCCGGAAAGAAGGTTCAGAGAGTGTGTTGCTGGTAACTAGACAACCAGAAAGACCTAAATAAATGTGTATGGCTCTTACAGCCATAAAAATATAGGGCCCCATCTTACTTAAAGGTAATATTCTAATAAAATTACACATGAAGTTAGAATGTGAGGGTTAGCATGTAATTGTAAACTCTAGGTAAGGCTTAGTTGTACCTCTAAAATGTGAGTTCCTTTTTAGCCTAAGGAAGACAAAAAAATCTCAGCCCCTTATTTCAATTAAAGAGTTAATTGACCACTAATGTCATGCGAGCTTTGCTTAATGAACTATATTTCCATCCAGTGCATTTCATGGTTTTAATAACAAAAGATTCAGGGCTAATAGAAGGATCCCAAATAAGAGTAAAATTACTTAAGTGGTGAAAATTACGCAGAGGTACGAGGGACTTACTATCAGAATACCTTTCACAACATGGAAGGCAGTGAGGGAGAGTACGTTTTTAAAGTGAGAACTTACAATCAAATTCTTAATACCAGAAACTCCTTCTGTTAGGCGTTATGGAATCATGAAGAGGTTTCATCTACCCTACAAGTGGAGAGGATAGCCCTGGAAACGTGCTTGATAAAAGGTAGCATGGCTGGACTGAGACACAGGAACTGCCCTCTCAGGTGGAGAGCGGTGCTCCCAGGGTGTGTCCTTTGGGGACCTTGTGCCCTCTATTGGCCATGGACCATGTTGGTTGCACAGCACATTACCCATTATGGTCAAGGGAGTTTTTCTTTTTTTAAATTTATTTTTAAGTTTAAATTTAGATTAGAAACAAGGTTGCTTCACTAGTCAGTTCCAGGTCCCTCTCCCTTTCCCTCCCCTCCTCCCGTGCCCTCCCTCCACCCCAAGGGAGTTTTTCTTTCTCCTTCATTCATCTGTAGGTATAAACCAGAGTCCCTGTGATTGACAGCCTGTCTGAATCAAAGATGAATTGGCTGCATATGGAAGATTTCTCTAGGAAGAATTGTTTTCTCATCGTCTATCTACTTTTTATTCCATCCTTTTCTTCTTCCGTATGCCCCAAACAAGCATATTTTAAGCATCTGCCTCATCATACACATGGACATATGTTTCATGCATGATTCTCTAAGCGTGTCCCAGTTAATCCTTACAATACACTGTGAGGTAAATGCTACAGTTTTAGCTTGTAGCCCAGGAAGCTAGCTCAGAGAAATAAGATGTCTCAACATCACTTAACTGTAAGCTTCCATGACCCATTTGACTATCTCTGCTTCCAACCTTATTTTTCCTCCAATCAAAGCCATCTTTTGTTATTTCCTGGCCATCTTATTTTTATTTTATAATCAGTCATTTCAACACAAACTCACGAGGTACCTTTTGTGCATAATTCTGGGATTAGATTTTAATATCACTAATATTTTCTTCTTTAGGAAAGGTACTCTTGTTTACTTTCGGATGATACTATGTGTCTTGGATCCAAGGTGGGGAAAAGGGATGGTCATGGAAAGAAAATACTAAGTCCATCATTGAGCAGGGTTTTAACTTGTCTCCCCTTCTCTCTTGATTTCTTGCTTTTAGAGAATTTGAAGAATTGACTGTGGATGCTATCTTGGGAATTCTGACCTCTCAGATCTCAGAGATACCCACAGGTTGAGGACTGTACCTTATTAGGTGGCTTGGAAAGCAATCCAGAATACTATGAAGGAGGAGGTCAGTGAGTATGCAGCTACACGGTGTATTCAAAAAGTTCAAAAGAGGGAGGTATCTTACAGATGGGCCTTGAGACACGGGGTATCATTTGAAACTATAATGTAGGTTAAGTGGATGGAGGCAGCTAATAAGGGGAGCAGTTTCTGTGTTGGCTTTAAGATCATGGATTCAATCCCTAGACAAAAAGAAGACAGGGTCCTTATCCAGCAGGAGGACATGATTCATTTGCAGAAAAGATAGGTACCAATCACTGAGACGTGACTGACTTCCAGAGCACAATCGGTCTCCTTCAGTTTGCCCTTAGGTCAAGCTGAATCCCCACATCATAGGGGTCCTTGATGGAGGTTGAGAGATTGCCAAGTGGGAAGAGAGTGGAACCGTGGGAAAGCCTTCTCTACATAGCACCATTGGCTTTGGAATTGACAACTTCGGATGCCAAACATGGATGAAATGCTGACTTTGAGCAACTTTTTGGATCGGCAGGTAGGATGCAGGTATTTACAGTCTTCAAGACCTCAGGGGTGTTGCAGCAAGCTTCTAGGTAGGGGACTATGATGTCCAGAACAAAGGTGCCCCAGGAGTCCTCTCACAGGGAGAACCGCGTGGAATCTCTGGACCACCAAGGGACCCCAGGAATTTAGTATTCTAGATCTCAAGGAGACTGTGGGGTTATGTAGAGCATTTGGCACAGAAAGCAATTATCAGGTGCTTTCTCTAAGAGCTACCATCCCTGTGTATCCACAAACTGCTTGGAATCACTGGAAACTTCTGCAACAGAGCCATCACACTTGAAGGAAACTCATCTGCGCACCATGGAGATGATCCTGTTGGGCTACATCATCTGTGTTGGCTTTGTTCTTTGGTGTCAGATGGAAATAGATCCAAATTCTGACTTTGCTTCCTATGAAATGAACTTGAACAAATTCTGCAGACTCACTGATGTAATTTCCTCAGGATAATTCTTACCTAATGGGACTGTTTTGATGGGTTTGTATTTTTTACATGGTTGTGCCCTAATTATTCGGTAATACAATGCAGCATAAACCACTCATACTAACAATTGTGTGCCCAGGGCTGTGGATCGGTGATTGAGACAGAGCCAGCAAGCATGGCTACTTACCTCTTACTTATATTATTTTCCTCACAGGTGTGACAAAACTCCTGAAATAGCAGCTTCATAATGAGAGGTTTTCTTTTGGCTCGCGGTTTCTTCATTGGGGAGAATGTGTGGCAGAGCGGCCCAGGCTGTGGGTGAGTGCAGCTGTTGCTTTTCCTATCATGGCAGATCAGGGTCAGGGAGTGAGAACAGAAGCAGCATGGGAGAAACTCTCCATGGCCCATCTCCATTCACCAGACCTCACCATCTTCCCAAACAGCTGTACTGACTGGGAACCATGAGTTTCAAATGGTACCACAACCCAACTGTGTGAGTCCATTAGTGGAAGAGGATACCTGAGGCTAGGTACTTTATAGAGAAAAGATGTTTATTCAGCTCACCGTTCTGTAGCATAAAGGGCACAGTGTGGCATCAGTTCAGCCTAGCAAGGACCTCAAGCAGTCCTATCAGAGTAACAATTTGAATCAGTGTAACCAGGAGAGCCCAATCACGTCTACTGTTTCTGTGAGAACCCACTGGTGAGAACTAATAACATTTCTGGGACCTACCTTAATCCTTTTGGGGCTTCTTGTGACTTCCCATCAGGTCCTACCTTGGACAGGTGCCACCACGTTGAGGAACAAGCCTTCAGTACATCAACCCTTGGAGGACAGCCACATTTAAACCACTTCCAGGGGCCAGCAAGATGACTCAAAAGAGAGAGACAGCGTGAAGCCTGGTGACCTGAGTTCAAGCCCCAGACATCCACATGGTAGGAGGAAAAAGGTGACTCTGAATGTTGTCCTCTGATGTCACACACATATTGTGGCATGCCTGACACACCCTCCCATGAATAAATAGATGAAAACATTAAACCACTTCCAAACCATTACACTTGCTCAACCTGAACACTCAGGATGTGGCCTTAGACACTACGTTATAAGAATTCTCAACTACGATGTGGGGAGTACTAAGTTAGTGGGACAGGTGGCTGTCTAAAGCCCATCATACGATCCCAGCACTATGGCGGGTACTCATAGTCAGTGGGGTTTTATCGCAACCATCATCTGCATGCACACAGGTCAGCTCAACTTCTGTATAGCCTCTTGGTGGTGTACCAATTCTGCTCTTTTCTTGTCTGTGGCCTGGGGAAATAGCAACTCCAACTTCCTAAGGCAGGATATCTTGGGGGTTGGTGGAGTGTAGGTGTATGTGAGTCACCATGTGCCTACCTAGCGTTCATCAGTGAAGGATGGGGAATGTTACGATATGTTCTCATCAAAATTCATGTTGAAACTTAATCCCCGAGGAAAGAGAAGCCGGCAGACCATCCGTATCCCCATTTCCCACCTCCTGGCCTGTGACGATAGGAGCCTCTCTGCTCTGCCCCTCACTGCCTGCCATGACCGACTGAGCCCTCTGAAGTCAAGAAGGAAGTAAGTCTCTTTCCACTTAGGTTGTTTCTGTTAGGCATTTCTCAGAGCCATGAACAAAATAAGTAATATGAATGGGGGCAGATTAGTTGAAGAGTTGGCTACAAAAACAAAAAACAAAAAAACAAAAAAAGCACGAGCTCCTCGCCTCTTCAGGCTCTCTTATTTCCTCTTTTTCATATGGTTGCTCTCCCTCTCTCCCCCTTTCCCTTCTCATTGTTAGATACCACCTGATGTGTGATGCAACCAGGGGCCCTCACCAAATATTGCTCCATGCTGTTTGAACCTTCTAGTCATCAGAATCGTGGGTCAGACTCTCTCTCCTTCATATATTACCCAGCATAAGATATTTTGTTAGAGCAGTGACAAATGCCAGGATCATTATTGTTTGTGATTACCCTGCCAGGGAGGGAGCTGGATCTGTGAATGTCTCAGTGGCTTCCTTGCTGGGGAATAGGAGACCCAGAGCAGCAGCCTAATCAGTCAGATGACAATGGCCAAAGAATGCATACCTGAATCTCCTGCATGGTACAGGACACCCTGTGCACATCCCCACCCTGTTCCATTGACGGCTGCTTTGAAGGGCTGAGTGGGTGGCCGGCAAGGTGAGCTTTGAGCTGGGTTTCCTGATCCCCTCTTTATCTCAGAAGTGCTCTCCACACCCATCCTAGGGGCAAACATCCAGCCCTGATGACATACGGAAAGTTCAGCAGTGAGCTGGAGAACTCCGTGGTGGCTTTGCTCCAAAGGAAGAAAATAGAAAGCGATGCCGTGTGGCTCAGAGCACCTCTTTATAATCATTCATGGAAAGATACATTTCCCTCATATTCACAAGTTGACAGGAAGAGGTAAAAAATACTTGAAATGTCAACTATTTATATAACCTTTGACCTTTTCCCAATACTGTGATGAGCATGCTTCCATCTCAATACAAGAAGCGTGAGTTTCCTGTTTTGTTTTGGTTTCAGCTGCCTCGTGGCACCCCTTCCTATGAATTGGCACCCTCCATGTGCTTGTCTGTCGGGCATCTGGCCTATTTCCAGTTTATGGCTGCTATGAATAGCAGTGCAATAAACATCCATGGGCAAGCTGTGTATTTTTTTTCTTTTCTAAAAAACATATCTCCCTAGAACACTGATAGTTTGCTTTACTCCTCTTAGTGGAGTCAAGAAAGAGTGATTCTTTGAGTCTAACTTTGTGTCTAAGGGTTATACACAAAGGGCTCATCATGGAGCACCTGCCTGTGGCATCAGCTCGATGTTCCTGGTGGCCACATTGCTGCCGGTGACTCTTAGCTTCTCCCCTCCTCTTCTCTTGTTGGCTGGTCCTGTTCACAGGTGCGAGATGTCCTTGCTTCCCCCAGACATTATGCCTCTTTCCATACTGACCACTCAATTTCCCCACAGCCTCACTGTTCATTTCCAGAAGGCTCTATGTTCACATGCTAAGAGTTAATGTTCCTAAACAACCAGGCTAACCCAGGTTTCACACAAGGCTAGGTGGTAAGGTAGAGCCTCTGATGAGACAGTAGGGTTATATCCTGAACAGAAGTGAATGTTGTTTACTCTTGAGTTTCAAATGGAATCTCACAAGGCACTCTCAAGTCCTAGTAACTAGTATAGTTTAAATGTGCAATCCCTTCACAGGCTCTTCCCTTGCAGAACTATTTTGCAGGCTTTGGGTGTCGAGAAACTCTGGCAGCTGGCAGCTGTGGATGTGCTTTTGGAGATTATACATGCCCCTGGTTCTGGTTGTATGAGCTCTGCTGTGCTTCTTTCTAAGCTCATATGGTAGGAAGAGACTCTACTACACCTGCCCTCCCTCTACCGTGAGCTCTGCTCTGCCTTTCCTGTCACGATGGGCTGTATCCTCTAAGACCACAAGTCAAAATAAATCCTTCCTATCTTAAGTTGTTTCTTTCCAGTATTGTGGTCATAGCAATACAAATGTAATTGATAAAATGACTTAAAGCCAACACCCTGCTCTTTTCAGGTCCTGTTGGATCAGTGATTGTATCAGCCTTCCCTGGCTTCCTCCATGCTGTAGACAAAGAGCTAGGTGGGACAGGAGAGTCCCAACACCCTGCTTTTCAACTGAACACTGCGTGAAATGGAAAATGTATCAAAAACTCTGTCATCTCACAGTAGCATTTTTTCTCATTTCACGTGTTAGTTACTATACAAAATAAAAGTGATGCAGATCTTGCCCTGCCCCTTCAATCCTGTATCACAGATGTGACAGCAGGTCAGCCTGTAAGCAGGATATTGTTATGGAGGAAGAGTGATTCCTGTGAAAGACATCTACTTGGGGTGCTTGTGAGTGGGAAGGGAGGAAGCAGGATTGGACGGGAGAGAAGTTGAAGGGCAAGGAAGCCACGAAGGGACAGTCAACACTACTCTTTTCCACTGATCGTACATTGAACAATGTTGCTTCCAGCAGGGGACTGGGCATAGGGTCCTACATGTGCAACTGCTGGGAGAGTTAGCCCTGCTAGGTTAACAGAAAAGGTAGGGGGTATACCAGGTTGTCTGGCACTTGCATGCTGGAACAGAATACTTTGACCCAGGTACTTAATAAACGAAGAGTTGACCTTACAGTTGTGGATACTTAAAAGTTCGGATTAGAAAACCCCATATTTAGTCTCTGGTGAGAGCCTCCTTGGGTGTGTCACATGATGGCAAGTGGAATCTTGGTGTGTGTGTGTGTGTGTGTGTGTGTGTGTGTGTGTGTGTGTGTGTGTTAGGACTGATCACACAGTAAGACAGGAAGCCAGACAACAGGAGGAAGAAGCTACTCTCATGAGAACTCACCTGTACCACGAGCCTATGAAGGATAAACAGCATTAATCCTTTCTAAGGACAATGCCACCAGGTACCCGATTACTTCCTACTAGGCCCTGCCCCTTAAAGGGTCCACCACCTCTTAATATTGACACATTAGGAACCAGACTTCTGGCATAAAACTTTGGGGGGCACACTGGAACCACATCCAAACCATAGCACCCTTTGATTAGCTGTCACTCAGCATTCACTAGTGTATGAACTTGAAGGCATTTACACAAGCACTGGGTGCCCAACCAGCAAGCTCAGCAGTGTCCACAGAAGAAGCAAGGCATGATGAGGTTTGTCTAGTCCAATAACACTAACTGGTGAGAATTGACGTGAGTTCTCTGTAGGACCCTCCTGTTTTATATAAATATTGAATTATTCTATACCAAGCATCAGCCTGTAAGCTTCATGCTGTTTCCTCTGTCTGCTGTAGTGTCTTTGATAGATGGCCTCGCAGGCACCCCAACCTCAGGGCAGGCTGACCACTTCCACAATTCATAAACCACTTCTCAGTCTAGGACTTCCTGTTACAGGTCATTCAGTCAATGACAAAAAGCCTCAAAGTTTACTCTTGAAATGGGGGTCCACACACAGGTATAACTGATGAGCCCTTCCCTGCCACCTGTCTCTCCCCAAGTCTTTTAAGCTTAGTAAACTCATACAGTCTAATAAAATCCCACAGATTTGGTGGCTTACACATGAGGCATTTATTTTCTCACAAGAGGCTGAACATATTAGTCAGGGTGACAGACAATGCTGGTTCCTCCTGTGGCTTTTTTCGTTGGCTTGGAAATGACCATCTACTGAGAACATGTTGACAGGGTCTTCCTTCCTTATAGGTCAGTGTCCCTCCTAATCTCTTATGATGACACTAATCCTAGTGGACAAGATCTCACCACTGGCACCATCTACCTTTCTGACCTGTTTTGGAATTGCATGATAGAATTTAGCTATGGGCACCCTCAGCCCAGTGTTTCCATGCATACCTCCTCCCAATGATGAGTGTTGGAGCTGGCCATAGCTCACCTTTCTTTTCCTTTCTACATGGTTCCTTTTGTTGTTGTGACTGAGGATTTCACACATGACTCCCTCTCAAATTCATGACCTCTTCTTTTTTTGATTTCGTGTGTGTGTGTGTGTGTGTGTGTGTGTGTGTGTGTGTGTGTGTACATGCATGTGAGTGTAAATTGCACCTGGTCCATTTAATACTGCATATATATAACTATATAAATGGTCCATTTAATACTGCATATATATAACTATATAAATGGTCCATTTAGTGCTGCATATATATAACTGTTGTTTAGGGCTGACCATTTGGGATTGGATAACCTCTCTGAGGACTTGTCCCTGGAGAAGACTGGTTCTTCTCTCAGCTAACATTAC